GGTGAATCTCATGCTCGTTTGTCCACTCTTCTTAACTTAATAGATTAAAAGTGTTGTTAACTGGGGCATTTTATAGATACATTTTGTAATGCATTTGTATAAATATATAATTGAATGGCAAAGTCAGTATTTAAAAAAATTGCGATGATTTGTATTGATTTGGTTTATTTATTGATGTAGTAAGAACTTTAAAAGTATCTTATATCTTGCATCGATTCTAGTTTTGATGATAGAGCAAGTATTAAACTTGCTCTATCATCAAAACTAGAATCGATCTATCTAATCGTTGGGGCTGTTGTCGAAGTCTATGGCTGTTGTACTTTTTTAATCTGGATTACGAAATGTCAAAGAGCGGTAAGCTAAGCGCTTGAGGCGCTGTATTTTTAATATAATTGAAATTAATTTTCAATTATATTAAAAATTAATTTCAATTATATTAAAAATACAGCGCCTACGCACCAGTATGTCGTAGTAATAGTTAAAATCGTAACACCCTAAGAAATATGTGTAGTTTTTTAACCGGCGGTAAGCGGAACGTAGCGTAGCGTCAGTCAGATAATCAGATTGAATTGAATAGATCTTGTATTGCATTCAATTGTATTTGTATTCTGTTAATAAAAGCGAGTATAACCTTTTATTCTTACGTTTCGCTTTTATTTTTCCCGACAAACTTTACAATTCGAGTTAATATAAATTCTGTTGTGTGTTTTTGTATTCTAATTCGTGTTTTGTGTCAATTTATGCGTTAAAAGGTAGCTTGTTAATTCATAACATTTAAGTTTAAAGTTAACTTAATTAGAGTAAATGATGTACTTGTGTGTAACTTTTTACTGGCATGTGCAGTTATTTCATGAGACGGCCCTAATTGTTTCGTTAATTTTATAAATTAAGCCATTTTGTCAGCAGCACCGTGCTTTTGTATAGTTTTTGTTTATTTGTGATTGTTTGTTTCGTTGTACGGTATAAGTTCTAAAATTAAAGTAAGCAATCGTAAGTAATATTATTGTTGCAATCTATAAAGAATGCTTTATATTCGACGTGTCCGATATTCAGGAAATAATATGAATTACGTGACTCATTCATATAAAATTAACTTGAGTTATCATTATTCCTAATGTCATTAATTGTTTTTTACATAATCAATATTTTATGCATGTAATCTGTTGTATGGTACTGATAGTGACGCGATTCGGTAGCACGAAACAGCGTCAAGTTTGTATAAATTTAAGTCATGTTTGTGTTAAAGTTTATATTTTTGTAACAAATTTTGTAGAAAGATTTTTATATGAATAAATACATAAATATATTATCAATATAACACATGCTGTACCATTCGACGATCTTCTTCCATCTCATCAGTAGCTGTACAATCCTGATCATAAAAATTTTGAGGTTTTCCTAAAGTATAATAAGGTTGATAAACAACACGATAATAACTGAATACTATGGCTCATAGAAACCTACATTTATACTTGATTAAGAATCAACATGAAGATGTAGTTTCACCCCGAAGCAGAGGTGTAGTGTGTGGACTAACATAGACATGGGCGAAGTCGCAATAGCGAGGCCGCTTTTCTTTCCTTCCCAAGATTTATTCAGTAGATCTATCCTACCAAACATGCTTTTGACACGACATCCGTACTCACAGATATTAATTCCTGACAAGTCTATTACCATCATTACATATTCAGTAAATCTAGCGGTCGTAGTCTTTGAAGGTAGTTACAACGGGCTCGCAGTCACACTAAAGAGGGACTTCCTGCGAGGTCCCAAACAAATATGCTTTTAAATTAGTAAAAATCGTAAAAGTGATCAAATTAATTAGTCATCTGTGGTAAAGTCTGGGGGCATCGCATTTAAAGGGGGCCTCGTTAGTTCCCTTTAAGTGAGAGGTCCACGGGGACGAGAGCCTACATAGCCCACGCTTAGCTATGCTATTGCCTAGAAGATAAAATGCGTAATTACCAGTAAAATGGGTCTCCAGTTCACTATATCCATTATACAATACACAGTAGTAATAAGCTGCTATTTTATGCTGGTATACTGTGATAGTGTGTTCCTTTCCTTGTCAAGCGAACCCATTCATGCTGCAATTATAATATAGCTGCTGTGTGGTTTCACCACATCTATTTCTATGTTTTCCATGAAAGTTAACAACAGGTTTTGCAATTGTAATACAATGTTCAGCTATATTAAATTTAATTAACAGTCCAGCCATTAATTCATTCATTACAGCTTATCATAAGTCTCCTGCTGAACATAGGTTTCTGACAAGGAACACCACAAACCTCTGAGCCAACTGCATCCATCATCTTTCTGCATATCTAGCCAGATCATCTTACTAGAATAGAATAGAATAGAATATTTTTTATTTAATATACATTACTTGTGTAATTCTTATTGAAAGTCATTTTTTACTTTACCACTGGTTCGAAAAAAACCCTCTGTCCTGGGAAGAACCAGCAAGAAACCCAGCGGGACTTTTTTTAAAAATAAATTTTACAATATAAATGATTACGAACTATTTACAAATTTTATTTTAGAAACTGCTTGGAAGCGACCACCTCATTAGCTAGTAGAGGGTCACCCCACACTTTGAAAAACAATAAGAAAGAAATTCTCAAGCAACTGCCTCGTACCAGTAAACAGTTCTTCAAGATATATGGCCCATTGCCACTTAGCTTACTGATCTTTTGGGATGTGTCAGTTATCATGGTTCTACTGATATTCTCATAACACTTCTTATTCTATCACACCTAAACTCTGAGCACGGACATCTGCTTAGCTCACTGAGCGACGTTGATTTTTGTCATACCTTCATGACAATAAAAATTTACAGTAGATAATTACTGTGTAATAGTTAGTGTTCTTATACCCTATTGAAACATAAGTATGGTTATCTTGTGACTGAAAAGTATACAATATTATACTACTATATTCTATAACTGTGGTAAAATGTGACAAAAAAAATGCTAGGAAAAATTGTTAGGTGTTAGAATAACTACTAATCAATATGCCATAAAAAATATAGGATGGCAACAATTAACGATAGTTTTGTTTTTTCCAGATGTTTTGTATACAAGAGACAGAACCACCACATACTGATCCATTCGGTAACAATGATAAAGATCCTTTAGGCGCTACAAGCACACAGTCAGAGTCCAGTGATGAAGAACCTGAAGCAAAACGTCTTAAAACGACATACACAAGCCCTTCTCTTAATCTTAAAGTCTACCAAATACCGGCTTTCAACCCACCGAAATCCCTCTCAATATACCCAACGACACCCACTTCAATTCTGCCTAAATTTGTTAATAACCCTCTTAACTTAGCCAATCCTTTAGCGTATGCCACAAGCAATCTTCATGCTAGTAACATGGTTAAGAGTCTCCATAGCAGGTATTCTCTGCCAGCAAAACTGACCATCACACCGGTGCAAAAACGTCCCACTGACAGTGAAATTATCAGGTATAAAAAGAATGGGGAAATAGCAAAGAAGAGAGGGCCTCCAAAAGGATATAAGAGGAAACCAAAAGTGGATCAACTCTCACAGAGTTTTACCAACGGAGCTTTACTACAGGTACTTATTGTTCCTATTTAAAATTAGTGGCTATGTACCAAATTTTTCAGTTTTTCACTTGTGGAACAGAGGTTCAGTTTGATTTCACAATGGGTCACTCCACAACTGATGCTGGTGCTTACCTGATGAAACATAATGTCATGCTTTGGGAGAATTCACGGGATGCTTTGGAAATTTTCTGTAGCAACCTGAAGTTAAGAAGTTAGCGGTGTTTCACACCATGTTGCCCTGTTGTGGTTGTCATGCACCTGATTTCCCTCTGGACGTATCGGGTAATCATCCCATTGGACTATGTAAGGGAATAGAGAGCGCACTTTTGCTTGTGCATGCACTGGGAACTATAATCCTTGTCTTGTTCAGATGGCTAGTCTCCATTGAGATTGGCCGTCGTGACCGCAACTGGGTCTGGAGAACATTATTATTACTATTCATGTAAAGTTATCAGTTTGCACAATGATAGGTCTCAGAAGGTACAATTTTTTCTGACTTAATTGATGAATATCATTACATCATAGCAAACTTTTTATCATATATTACACTTTACTTTCCTAATATTATAAATGTGAAAGTTTGTTTGAATGTTTGTGTGTTTGTGGCTCAATCACATTAAAACTACTTAATTGATTTTGATGAAACTTGGCAATATTATAGCTTCCAAACCTGACTTGACTTAGGCTATGTTTCAGTTCAAAATATCTTAGTCTACCCCAAATTACAGTCTTTTAAATTTGGTCGATTTTGATGCAAAAAATTTAGTCGATTTTTAATTGAACGCGAGTGGAGTCACAGGTAAAAGCTAGTAAATTATATACCTAAACCCTTTGTGAATCAGTCCATTGATGAAAACTGAATGACAAATCCCACAGTAGTTACTGCGATTAGCACGAACATACATACAGACAGATGAGTCGGGGAGACTTATTTACTATTATATGGATAGAGGATATTAAATCAAATAAAAAATAAGTATAATAGTGCACACAAAATCTGATTCTCTTTGTATTATATAGTATCAGGTCGGCTAGAAACAATATCAATAATGAACAAGCAGTGCTTAATGTACAAAAATCTAAAATCAATTTATCAATTGGGAAAAAATCTCTTTACCTGACTGCACTACAGCAAAGTCAGGCAAAGCATAACACTTAGCAGTCATATCCGGGTATGTAGTGGGGCTGAAACATCTAAACGACTGGATGGAATTTTATCATTGAGATATCTATCGAATTGTCTAAAGTTCTAAATCATATGATGATTATAGGCTAGGTTTTGTCACTTAATTATTTTTTATGCAATCCAGTTTGTTTTTAATAATTTTGCTTATAATTCTGTTTTACTTTGTGTGTACATAAATTCTTAAATAAATGAATAAACAATATTGTCTTTGAAATTGCCAAAATACCTTCTATATTTTAGTAATATGTTACAGGCGCAAAATACGATACTGACAAGCTTACTCGCGGCAACAAACACCACGCTCGCTGGTGTAATGGCACCACCAGCAACATTGCCACAGCCACAACCGGAAGTTATACCACAAGTTGTAATACCACCAGGTCAGTATACCAACAGTTGCCACCCCTTTGAACTGTTTCTCTTACTAACAGTGCCTGCACTGCTGTGACCACTCGGAAGGATGTGGAAAGCAAGTTTGATTATGGGCTATGAGGCATCTCATCTTAATCTTCAGAATGCCAAGTCCTATGTAGTTTTTGTTGTTTGAAGATGGCTGCAGTTGACAATGCAGTTGAAATTTACCAGCAGGTGAACCGTCATTTGTTTTAACTTATTATAAGCCAAGGCTTGACTACACTTGGTGGTAAGTTGTGATAAAGTTCTAAATGGTAATTCTCACGGTTTTAGCATAACAAAAATCTATTCACTCTTGCCTAGGATGAATCGGATCGAATCGTACGGAAAGATAGACGCCGATAAATTATCCTGCCACTCCTTTGCTGTACCCGGTACGAAAGACAATTTCGTCAACAAAGGGATGGAGACTGGCTGAGCATCTCGTAGAAAGGGAGGAATGGAAAGAAAAAGTATCTTAAAAGTAGCTATTTCCAGCTTGAATCTTTTTTGCATAACAACATCCGATTGTAATTGCATCTTTACTATTTCCAGGTGTCGAAGTTGTAGAACTCCACTTGGACCCTGCAGATTGGTTCCCAGCGGAGCCCTACAAAATGGTGTTCAGCAGAAAGAAGAATCCGAAATGGAAGAACTTTCCCTACAGATGCGAACATTGCTTTAAGGTATGATGAACTTAGAATTATGTGGTAGCAGCGTAAAGGAACGCATCACTCCATTTTGTCCTGTCGGTGTCCTAAGAGGCGACTATGGAATATGCCAAAAAAATCTTATGGCCTCCGCAATCTGCGATGATAGCCATCTTGTTTACGCTAGACGGCGACGGGCAGCAGTGTCAAAAGTGCTCACGTCTGGCACTGTAATCTTCAATTCGCCTGTCGAGCTTGAAAATTATTGCTATTAAGACCATGTAGAAGTCCCGTAAAAGTCCACAAATTTTTTTTTCAAAGGTATACTAGTACCTCTATTCATTACTAATATTCCCATTAACAACTCTGTGGTTCACCACAGTAGTCGAATAGCGTACTCAAATCCACGACTCTCTATATACACACACGAGATGTTACGGACTTATAATATTTACGTAGGTATTTCGTAATAGCGAATGCTAATGCGGATGCAAATTTTTTGAGGCTCACATCCACGGATGCCGATCCGGACGTAGATCTAAAGTTTTTATTGGAATATAACTACATATACAAATGAAAGAGATGGTATATTTTATATTATTTTTTTATTTAATAATAAAAAAATAGTATGAGAATTTAAAAATTGATGCATTGTTGCGAAGATACGTACCACTCGCTGACCTGGCCAAATATTTTGTTGCAACATGTACCACATTTTTGAATGTGGTGTGGTGTGGCTCCGCATTAATTATTGCGGATGCGGAAATGGATACGGATGTTGAAATCTATGCAGAAGTTCCACATTGAAAAAGGAAAATCATACACATCCAAAATCGGGGATTTGATACGTACATACAGACATACATCTATAAACTGTAGCATCCAACTGTTAAAGATAACTGCTAGAGATGATCAAGAATCTCCTAGTTCTCATGTCTTGCATGGAAACAGTCTTCGCAGACGCGGCCCGCCGTTCGATATACTCGGAGCTTCAAGACTTTGTGCAGTTGGTCCTTCGCGAGTCCTTGCGGTTAAAAAAGGTCTATAGACCTGGAAACATGGGAGATACAATAAGTTCATACTGTCTTTGTCTCACCAGGGTTACCGGGTTGCGTCAACGCTACTAACCCACGCGGCGGAGAGGCACGGCTCGGTGCCCAAGGACGTGGCGATCCCGTGTCCCTGCTGTCCGCACGTGTCCACTCGCCGCAAGCAACACAAGAAGCACCTGGAGACGCATGAGGGCAAACGCCACAGGATATTCTGCCTCTACTGTTTACCACCACGTGAGTTTATTTTTGTAATTTTTTTTCTGAGCCGAGGTAGATCAGGGGCTAAGTGTTTAGCGTACTTTCACAATACGTGAAGAGCTCCAGTTCAATCTCCGCCAGCACCAATAGAATAGAATACTTTTTTATCTCTATGTATAAAAATCAATTGCTGTTTGTTAGTCTCGCTAAAACTCAAAAACGACTAAGATTTATTTTAGACTAGCTGGTCCCTGCGACTTCGTCCGCGTGTTATTTGGGGTTTTAATTTTTTTGCGCGGAACCCTAATTCTTTTTCTAAAATAAAAGTAGCTTAAGTTACTCCTTGTGACATCTGCTATCTGTCAGTGAAAATCCCGTTAAAATCGGTCCAGCCGTTTCGGAGATTAGCCGGAACAAACAGACAGACAGACAAAATTTGAAAAAATGTGTTTTTGTTGTAAGTACCGTATATACTTTCATATGCATTTAGTAAAAAGCTGTTATTTTGACATTACAAACACTTTAATTTTATTTATTTGTATAGATGAAGATATCGCAGTTATTCTTTTTAGATAAGGGCCAAGTGTCTAATAAAAAAAACTTAGAAAACCTAATTGAAATCTATCCAGTAGTTTTTCCGTGACGCGCGCACAACTGCGACAAACAGACAGACAGACAGACAAAAACTTTAAAAATTGTATTTTTGTTATTAGTACCGTATATACTTTCATATGCATTTTGTAAAAAGCCGTAATTTTACAAACAGACACTTCAGTTTTATTTATTTGTATAGATTTATTAGATTAGATTTAGATGAACTTTTTTGTGTGTTTGAATTTTTTTATAGGATAAGGATATGTTACGAGCACACAGTCCCCTGATGGTAAGTGGTTGCTGTGGCCTATAGACATCTACATCTATCCTCGATTACGTATCAAAATGCTGATGCGTCGTCATCCGGTTCTCTAAACTCATCATACGAAAATCTGCAGCATTAAGCTGCTATTTTACGCTGGTATTCTGTGAGACCGTTGTTCCCCGGTCTAGCCGACCCATTCGTGCTACAACTATACCAGTAATATAGCTGCAGCATGGCTCTACCACGTAAAATGGCATTAGATGGTTTAGATTCACAATTGGACCCGGTAGGTGGCGCTGTTGTCGAGATCCAGAAATCACCCGTGCAAAACCGGGGCGGATCGCTAGACTATACAAATAAATAAAATTGAAATGTCTGTTTGTAATGTCAAAATTACAGCTTTTTACTAATTGCATATGAAAGTATATACGGTACTTATAACAAAAACACAATTTTTAAAATTTTTGTCTGTCTGTCTGTTTGTTCCGGCTTATCTCCGAAAAATTCCGTCTCAAGCGTCGGCGCGAGTCGGCCGTTTAACTAATTGCATTGTGCCGTGCGTATGTGTGAGTCTCGTGTAAAGCATCGGAGTTTAACGTTAACGCTATATCGACATCACTCGAGCGCATCGTGGAGATTTTGCACAGATTAATTTCATAACAGAGCGGTCAAGTTATAAACATGACAACTGTAAACAGTACATTTACGCAAGAGTGTGAAACTGAACAAGATTTAAGACCCGGAGAAATGAGTGTTAACGAGTCATTTATTGAAAATGAATCACCTCCTCCTTATATAAAATTTCGGAAAGGTAGTAACGTTATTCCTGCAATTTCCGATCTACAACAAGAATTTAAAACTCTTCAAAGCAGTTTACTTAACAGGCTTGATTCCTGGTTCTCAAAACAAGAAACAAAATTTAATACCCTTCTTAATGACTTCGACGAAATTAAAACCACGCTGAAATTTATCAGTGACAAATACGATGATTTAGACAAAAGAACTCATGATGTCAGCAAGCGTGTATCTAGAATAGAACAGCAGCTGAAATCCACACCGGTCTTCGAAGCACGTATCTCTGAATTAGAAACTAAACTGGCTGAATTTGAACAAAAATCTCGAAATTGTAATATTGAGATAAGTAATCTGCCTGAAAAACGAAGCGAGAACTTAATACAAATATTGGAGAATATTGCTAAAGTCATAAAGCAACCAATTTCTACTAAAGACATAGTTAAAATTCATCGTGTACCTCATATGAACCCTAAGATTTCACGCCCGAAGAATGTAATTGTAAAATTTTTCAATCAAGCAACGTGTGACAACTTTGTTTCTGCAGCAAGACTATCAAAAGGAATCACAACAGAGCAAATAAATATGCATGGAGCCGTTCAAAATATTTATATCAATGAGCACTTAACTATTCATAGTAAGAATTTGTTTCGTCAAACTCGTGAAAACAGAACGGATATAGATTTGTGTGGATCAAGCGCGGAACTGTACTGGTTCGTGCAAGCGAAACATCTGCTATTTTTGCTATACGAAGGGAACAAGATATATTATCGAAAATTAAACCAAAGGATACCAAATGATGGATTTACTTGTGAAATAGTTATTAGTAATAGGTTTGTGTAAGCGAAACATCTGCTATTTATGCTATACAAAGATAACAACATCAATTATCGAAAAGTAAACATAATGATACCACATAACAAATTTGAAAATAATATGAATAAGGTACGTCTTCTTATAAGATTTATTTGCAAGCTCTTAGTGTTGCATTACTCTATGTGTTGTTTACGACTGGGACAATTCTTTTACCACATATATTTTTCTGCGGTCACCATCACAATGACTGTTTTGTGTTTACATTTTAATACAATTCACGATTTACGTTTTCTAACAAATAACATAATACAATTATTACCAACTAAATTACTTTTAAACATTCTTGTACACGAACAAATTTTTGCGATATATAGTTCCATATGTTTTTTATTTAGAATTTTACACTTTTTCATATTTTTTTCTTTTTTTAAATTATTGCTAGTAATTCTTAAAACGTATACTATTTATGAAGATGGCTTATAAAATACAGGTATACTATCAGAATTGTAGAGGTTTGAGGACAAAGTTGAGTACTTTATTCAATAATATACTGTTGGAACATTATGATATAATAATTCTCACGGAAACGTGGTTGACCTCGAATATTGCAGATAGTGAATTCATTGATTCGCGTTATGTAGTTTACCGATGCGATCGAAATCGAGAGTTATGTGGTAAAACAGACGGTGGAGGTGTATTGATTGCTGTGCGCAGGGGGCTAAATGGCACTCGATGTATTTTAAAGCCCACTTTTCACTGTGAAGATGAAATTATAAATGTCCCATCAAATATTGACTATGTGATACTTAAGTTTTATTCTAAGCAACATAACGAATATCACGCTGTTAGCGGTGTTTACATACCACCAAATCAACCTTTAACTGCTTATCAATTATTTTTTAACTCTCTCCAAAATGAGCTTATGTGTAACGAAAATACAAAAATATATATTTTCGGGGACTTTAATCTACCCCACATTGAGTGGCTGCAGTGTGACGGGAATACATGTACTCCAAATACACATTACTGCAAAAATCCAATGACTTTGCTCGTTTCAAATTTTTTATCAATTGTAGGTTGCAAACAATTTAATTTAATTAAAAATAATAAGAATCGCATCTTAGATCTTTTCATTTCAAATAATGATACAAGTACTTGTAAGTCACCACTAAACTTTTTAGTTCCAATAGACGTCTTCCATCCACCACTTAACGCCGAGATATTTTTTAACGTAGAATACATTCAATTGGCGCGTAAAACTTTACCAAAATATCGATTCTCCGAGGGTAAATATGCAGATATTAATGACGATATTAAACGTGTAGACTGGGCAAGTATTTTAGAGGTGCCGTCCTTAGACACTGCCACCAACCACTTTTATGAAGAGATATATAAAATCATTAGGAAACACGTACCTTTACGTCCAATCAAATCTAAAAAGTTTCCAATATGGTTTACACGTCCACTAATACACATATTTAAAAATAAAGAAAAATCATGGATAAAGTGGAAAAATTTTTCTAACCAAGTAGATTATGAGGAATACTCTGTACTTCGAAAAAGATTTAAACAACTTTCCGCGCAATGCTTTAATTCATATTTAAGTAAAATTGAAACAAGTTTGCAGAAAGACATCAAAGTATTTTGGTCTTTTGTAAACAATAAAAAAAAATGTGGTATTCCCAACGTAATGTTTCACGATGGAAATGAAACCGATAATCCTGAGGACATATGTGAATTTTTTTCTAACTATTTTACTTCAGTTTATGAGAACATCTCACTGATGACGTACCACATAGATTTACTTCCTTGCTCATCAAACACTAACTTTATTATCTCAGATATATCATTTTCAAAAAACACTATAGAACAATGTCTAAAAAACTTAGATATAACTAAAAGTTCAGGACCAGACGGTATCTCACCTTTTTTCCTCAAACACTGCTAGCTCAACAAGCGTACCTCTGTTCTATTTGTATAACCGCAGTTTGCGTGAAGGTTTAGTGCCCACAGTCTGGAAATCTGCGAATATAACCCCAGTGTTTAAAAACGGTTCTAAAATTGATGTGACTAATTATAGACCTTTCCTTACTTTCTGCCTTATCAAAAGTCCTTGAACGCTTAGTACATAACTCAATTTATCCGAGTTTACACAACTTACTAATTCCAGAACAACATGGTTTCGTAAAACACCGATCGACCATCAGTAATCTTATTTTATATACAAACTTTCTGTTTGATAATATGGACAATCGAATACAAACTGATACTGTTTACACAGACTTTTGTAAAGCCTTTGATAAGGTGGATCATTCCATCCTTCTCCAAAAACTTGCGTTCAATGGTATACGTGGAAACTTATTACGGTGGTTCTCTTCGTACATTATTAATAGGACCCAAAAAGTTGTGGTTAACGGATTCTCCTCTAGCGAAAAATTAGTATCCTCAGGCGTACCACAGGGATCTATACTAGGTCCGATGCTCTTCACGTTGTATATAAATGATATTCAGTATTGTTTTATAAATAGTAATTTTTTGTTATATGCAGATGACCTGAAAGTTTATCGAAGTGTAAAGTCCCTTAATGATTGTGAGAAGCTACAGGAAGATCTTGACCGGTTATCTAACTACTGTCTAATCAATAAATTGCAATTAAGCATCCCTAAATGTAAATCAATTTCTTTCACCAAAAACGTAAAAACCTACAATTACATATATTCCCTACTTAACAGTCCCTTAGAAAAAGTATCATTAATAAAAGATTTAGGCATCCTTTATGATTCAAATCTAACCTTTAATGCTCATATCAGCCATGTAACAAATAAAGCGTATCAAATGTACGGAATTGTTGCACGAACGTGTAATTTTTTTAAAAGCTCCTCATCTTATTTACTACTTTTCAAATCACTTATCAGACCACAAATTGAATATGCAACGCAAGTATGGAATCCCTATTATAATAAATACGGTGAACTTCTAGAATCATTACAAGCAAAGTTTCTTCGTTTTATAAATTACAAATGTTACCACGCTAAATCATCGTATCGCAACTTATTAAAAAAGTTTTCAATTCATACTTTAAAAGCAAGAAGAATATACTTTGATGTAATACTATTATTCAAAATAATTCGAAATGATTCAGATTGTAGTGAATTACTTAACAAAATATATATCCGTGTCCCTAGTCGTTCTCAACGCATTAGAGACGTGTATACACATAAATTGTTTGCACCTAAACTATGTAAAACCAATGCAGGTGAACGCGCCCCATTAGGACGTATTATGAAAGTATATAACATGCATTTTTCAAATATTGATCTATTCACCTCATCACAGTTACAATTTCGCAAGAACGTTCTAAGAAAGTTGGTAGACATTCAATAGTATCTTAAAATATTTTACAAGATAAATTTGTACTGTTAGCAATTTTTTATCCCTTTTGTCTCATTTTGATTTTTATGTTACTGAATAATGTCAATTTTATTTTATTTTCCCTTTTTTACTTGTACTCTGTTTATTGTGCATTTATTATTTACTGTTACCAATTTAATATTACTTTGTGGATAACGGTGCTGGTTACATAATGACTAATGTTATTTATAAAATGTTATTTGGTTTAAGCATTATTATGTAATTGTTTGTTGTCCTGAATAAATTAAAAAAAAAAGGAAACGGCTGGACCGATTTTGACGGGACTTTCACTGGCAGGTAGCTGATATCATAAGGAGTAACTTAGGCTACTTTTATTTTAGAAAAAGAATTAGGGTTCCGCGCAAAACAAAAACCCTAACACGCGAACGAAGTCGCGGGGAACAGCTATGTTACGGATCGCCGTAACACCGTTCGAAAAATGAATGAAACGCGTTGGTCTTGCTTAAACTGGAGGCAAGCGGCGGTGAGGAGGAACTTTTTCTTTTCTTGCTGCAGTTTTCTTTTCTGTGGCTGGAGAGCGACTGCCGACCGTTCTTTTTTTTTTTTTTTTTTTTTTTTTTTTGCGCCCGAAGCAATTGGAAAAGGGCTACCCCGAAGGGAGGCAGAAAATGCATTACGCATACCACGATGGCCGGTCCATCGTGGTTATGAGGGACTCACTACCTACAAGGGGGAACCTAAGTGATACCCTCTAAAAACTGCCTTTGGGGACTGGCAACCAGCTGTTGAAAGCTTCACATGCCGTATCGTAAAGCGACCCTCTTTTGGGAAAAGAGGGCGCAGGCGGCTATAAGCCGCTGAGGGAGTGCCTGGGAAGGCAAATTAATTATGAATAACTTAATTAGAGTTGGCCTGAGCCGCCAGGAGGCAGTTCAGGTCGTTTGAAAGTTTATTAGGCGGGTCCGAGAGGGAGTTCCTCGGCCTGCGGACGCTATAGCGGGAGGGGAGTGGGGCTGCATAATTAGCAGCCTCACGAATAAAATGATTGGAATGCGACTCTGAGGCTTTGAAGAAGTTCTCAGAGAGTTTTTTAAGGAATTGTTGAATTGTAGGGAGCTCTAGGTCCCGATGAAGGTCGGCATTGCGGACGTACCAAGGTGCGTTCGCAGCTCGACGACAGAAAAGGTTTTGAACTACTTGGAGTTCATTAATAATTTTAGGGTTAGAGTGGGCGAAAATGGGGCCCGCGTAGGACATGACTGGTCGTATACAGACCTTATAAAGGGTACGCTTGTTTCTGAGGGACATTTTACTGTGTCGGCCCAACATACTGTTGAGCCTATTCAGGTAAAAACGTGCGTGACGGGTTACTCTTTTGACGTGGGGCCTGAAAGTTAGCCCTGTGTCTAGAGTGACACCTAAATATTTGGCAGACGTATGCCAGGGGACAGGGGTCCCTAGCATACGTATTGGTGGAGTGTTTTTGAGACGGCGTCGTTTATAATCGAAGTGAACGGCGGAGCTCTTCTCCGGGTTCACATCGATGCGCCATTTTTTGAACCAAGCTCCTAGGTCATCAACTGACTTTTGGACCTTGTTCCGTATGAAAGGTAGCGAGATACCTTTGCAGTAGAGAGCAGTGTCGTCTGCGAAGAGGGAGAGCTGAACACCTTTCGGCGGAATGGGAATGTCGTTGGTGAACAGTATGTACAGCAGAGGAGCAAGAACTGAGCCCTGAGGGACACCAGCTTTGATGGGGCGCTGTGAAGATAGCGTGCCTTCGTGTCTAAAACGAAAGGTACGATGATTAAGATAAGAGGCCACGAGACGTACTAGACGATCGGGGAGACCTATTTTGTATAGTTTGTAGATAAGGCCTGTATGCCAGACTCTATCGAAGGCTTTGGCGATGTCGAAAAAGACCGCGATAGTCTTATGACGACGGGGATAAAAACCGCTGAGGATATATTCCACAATACGGTGAACTTGTTGGGGGCAGGAGTGTTTCGCTCGGAAACCGAATTGATGGGGAATGATAAGAGGGTCACCGTCTGTGGGAAACAGATGGCGCCTCATGCGATTTTGAATGACTCTTTCAAAGAGCTTGCCCATGGCCTTGAGGAGGCTAATGGGACGATGACTGGAGGGGAGATTAAGAGGCTTGCCTGGCTTGGGAATACCAATCACAGTTGCCTCTTTCCACGTAGTGGGAAAGTAACTAAGGTTGAAGCAGGCATTGAAGATAATAGATAAAAGGGTTAGCACCTGCTCAGGAAAGTTTTTTAGGGCTTGGTTGGAGATGCCATCCGCGCCCGGAGCCTTTTTAGGCTTAAGTCCTTTGATGAGGGATGAAAGCTCATCATTGGACACAGAGATAGGTTCGGAGGCTGTAGGGGGCGAGTTCCGGCGGCGGACCTCATCCTCCACTGCCTGGACGTGTGAGGGGTCTACGGGTTGAGAGCTAGGAGAGCATTGAGCGGCAATGCTGTCTGCAAAGCACTCAGCCTTTTCCTCGTCCTCGAAGGCTACCGTACCGTCGGGACGGGAGAGAGGGGGAGTGTGGAAGATAGCGTCTATGCGGAGGGCTCTTGCCATCTGATAGTACGCTGTATGAGAGGGAGAGATATTCTCCATGAGCTTACTCTTTTTGAGGTCTCGAAATTCAGAGAGGCGGAAACGGAGTTCTCGTTGAAGACGATTGGCCGTGCGCCTATATTCGGGCGTGGGATATTTTGCTGCTCTCCGGAAAGCAGCTTTTTTGGCTTTTAATAGGTTGCTAATATGCAGGGGAAGCCCACTATTATTAGCAACCGGGACGACCCTTTCATTCTCCTTAAGGGAGGTTTTAATAAGGGTGGAGAGTGAATCGACCGCGGTGTCGATTTTTTCAGGACTGTCTAAGTCCGAAGATAGGGAGATGGGGGAGTCCTGTGAGTCCAGAGCTTTCGCTAGGGACTCCTTGAAGCCCTTCCAATTTGTGAAGGTTTTAGTAGAGGGTGTTGGGAGTGGTGGCTGATGGCCAAGAATGAGAGAGACCGGTCGGTGGTCGGATCCTAGATCGTCTAGTGTCTCGATTGCCCTAAGGTTGAGAGAAACTCCTTTGAGTAACGCAAAATCTAGTACATCGGGGGCATAGTCGGTGTTATCGGGAAAGTGAGTAACACCGAGAGGACTGTGGACGGTAATATCAAGAGACTGCGTGATATCGAGCAGTAACTTGCCACTACGGGTGGTAGTACGGCATGTCCATTCAGTATGCTTGGAGTTAAAATCTCCAAACATAATGACTGAATTGCCTAGAGATAAAATAGCCTCAAAATCTTTTTTGAGGGGAAGGGTTTTAGAAGGGATGTAACAGGAGGCTATGAAGATGGACTGATGTCCAGTCATAGCTAGCCTGCATACCGTGGCTTCCATGTTGGAAAGTTGCGGAGTAGAAATGGGAGAACAGTGAAGTGTCTTCTTGTAATAAATGGCCGTACCGCCGCCTCGGCGGTCGGGTCTATCATTACGAAGAAGAGAGAAGTTTTTGATGGAAAGGCCT